CCTTTTTTTTTTTTTTTTTTTTTTTTTCCTTTAAACATATGTCATTTTTTCTTAAGAACCTTTTTGGACACAAGAAATAGGGCGTCTTTTTTTTTGCTTTTGGTGTTTCTGCAAGTATGTTGAATTTGAGTACCTAGCAGTGCTCTTCGGCTGTGGCATTTGGAATAGGTCCTGTGTACTATTCGGGACCAAATCAAGGATTATGTCTTCTCTCATGGGCCCCTCATCAGCTTCTCTGTGAAAGAGTTATTATTAAAATGATTTTCCTTAAGGAATTGCCAAGTCTGGCACTTATTCTTCCATAAAATTTCTAAATAAATAGTAAGTACATAGGGCAGTGTATAGAAGTAATTATCATGGACAATTAATTCACATTCTCCTTCACTCCATCTTTGCATGCTGTATTTTGTGATAAGATATAATGTCAGAATTCCAAAATGAGGGAATAATGAAATTAACTTCATTCAGTGAGTCTGAAGTCCATGCTTTTATGAAAAGACTTCATCATGCTGGTCGAAAGCATTTTTAAAAAGTAGGAATGAGCCCAACTGTGCACACAGAGAAGGATGTGAACAGACTCTGCTTCTTGTCTGGGTTATCCCGCTCCTTGTCAACTTGAGCCCAGTTGCATTGGCACAATCACAATCTGCAGTGCCAGGTACACTAGTTAAGGCATGGAACTGTATTAACAGGTTATATTATCTGGGTCTTAGAGTTTTGCCTTCAGCTATTTGAGCACAAAGGTCATGGAGCCTGCCCCTCTTCACACAGGGAAAACAAAAGGATTTTTCAGGTTTTCCTCAACCAGACCCAATTAAAGGAAGAGGTTTTTTTCTCCCCACTGTCTTGAGTTCAGCAATGCATATTATTTGGGATGTTTACTGTGGGTTTTAATTGTATGCACATGGGCACAATGAACCCTGGAAGCTGCAAGTGACATCTAGAAAAAAATTAACACCTAGTAAAGTACCTGATTTTCATAAGAAAAAAGCAGCTTTTCCTTTTTTTGCAGCTAATGGATTTTTCTCTTTATAGATTAATAGATGGGACTAATATCACAGTAGAAGATGACCATATGTGGCTCATTCCCTTCTCTTTTGGAGAAGATCATCTACTCACAATCCATTTTGATAAAATTGAAAGTATTGCAGGGCTTCGCTTTTGGAACTATAATAAATCTCCAGAGGATACCTATAGAGGGGTAAGTAAAAGAAAAGGAGCACTGCCAGCAAAAATATACAGCAGAGCACAGGAAAATTGGTACTGTGATAAATGAATATAGCGGCCTTAATGGAACACTGTAAATCTTTCTAGATTGTCTGAGTCTGAATTTTGTGGCAGGTATAATGCATTTCTGTCTCCACGAACAGCAAATATTGAAAAAAAGCCAGAGATAGTTTAAAGAAGTCTTCACAGCTGATTTTTCTAAGAGACATATACAATAGCACATATTATTTTCAAGATATATGATTCTGAAGTGGTATCCTCTCAGTATCTAGTCTTGAGTCCTACCATATGGTTCTGTATTTCTTGGAACATGGAGAATTGTAGAACAGAGGACACTTTATCCAATAGAAATTGTGTTCAGAGAAGTTACAGGCCAGTCCACCAATACTGCCTTTTCCCAGAAGCAAGAAGAGTCTCTAGAAGTCTTGGCATTTGTTTGTGGAAGCTGACATCTTCAAACAGTTTGGCCAAAGGACTTAGCTAGAATTGAATAACATACCTCCTCTCTTTTTTTTTTTTTTCCCAAATTGTATGTTTTATGGTTTTTTTTCCCCTGCTGAATTTTTGGAATTGACTGACAATTGACACCCTTTGGAGACCACGTCACATCGAGCTGGGACTCGGAGTTTGGATGTCTCTTATTTATCTCTTTTTTTCTCTGACCATACACATATGCACTTCTAACAATAAAGAAGCAGTAGTTGCTGTTCAACGCACAGAAAGTTTAGGTGTCCATTTGTTTCCAGATCTTCCTCATCACATTTGTTGTTTCGTTCTTGATGTCCAAGCTCAGTCAACTGATAAGAAAAATGTTGGTCTGTATTAAATTAAAGAGAGATAGGACATAGAGAATCAGCAAAATTCTGGAAAAAAAAATTTAGAATGGAAACTGGAGGCATGGATCTTTCACAGGATTGGGCAAAATAGTGGTAAAGACTGCAGAGCTGCTTCTGTGTGTCAGTTTACCTTTGAGGAATTGCTGCTGTGTGAACAGTACATAAATAGATGTTCCCTCTCCAGGACAGAGCCTTGGCATGTTTTAACATCAGCATGGGGTGCTGCTGATTTCTGTCCAAAGATTCCCAGAGGGCCAGAGCATATGATCTTTAATTTAAGCTACAACTGAGCTAGAGTTTTAACATTTGGCACCTGATTTAATAATTTACATGAATCCAACATGTTTGACATATGGGAAGGTGCAGGAGCATGTTGAGCTTACCATCTAAACATACCCCCTGTATAACAATTAGAGGTTTTAGGAAAACCTGGTACTTAATAGGATTTGGCCTAAAGACAGGACCCTTCCCTGGGAGAGTGGTACAGCTCTGGGACAGTATGCAGTGATGGGAGACTTTCAAAACTAAATTTGACAGAGCCTAGAGGAGCCTGATTTAGCTTTTCAGGCTTCTCTGCTCTGAGCAGGAGCTGTTACTGAAGACATCCAGAAGTCACTTCCAACCTGCATCTTTCTGTGACTCTTGCACAAAGTACAGTATTAAGAACTGTCTCTGAGTCGTGTGGAATGTTTTTCACCCTTGCTGTAAGCCCAAGCTTCTCCAAGACAGAGCAGGGGAGAAAAGTTAGAACATCAATTTTCATGCCAAGTCAACTCCCTGTATGTGGATCTCAGTTATTAAAGGAAGGAAAGAAATAGCCAAATCCCTAAAATCTAACATGGAGTCTGGTCTTCAGAGGCCAAAGCAAGCAAGGGAGAAAGAAAGGTATATTTTCACAGTTTACTTTACTAGATACAAAGAAGAGACATGTCTGACAAAGTATGCTTGCAGGTGGCACACCTCAAAGTCCCCTGACATTTGGTGGGTCCATTATAAATGAGGAGCTGATGCCTGCAGTCCTCTAAAAGGATGAAATAAATTATTTGGAAAACTGAAGATGGAAGGTTTCTGCTGGGCCACAGTAAAGAGGCTTTAGACTGTAAACCTTGGGCATGGTGACATCTGTCTCTTGAAGTATTGCTGTTCCTTCTAAGGAACAGTCCCTGGGTATGAGATATAATGACTTGCTAGGCAGCTGTAGACTGCTGAATTCTATTCATAGCTTTAGTATGAGAGGGTAATGGCAGTGAACTGTCAAAATGAAGGCTTGGCTGCTATTTCCAGCTCTGGGAAAAATTACCTTGTGGAAGCTTTGTTATGCAATTTGTAAAGTGCTATGTGTGATGGTTGAGTGCCTTCTCAGGTGATGAAAATTACTTAGAAATGAGGGCCGTAAAGGGCACATAAATATAAGCAGCTGTGGTATAATAGGTAAGATTTCATCTCTGAGTCTCCAGACTTCCCATTCAATGTGTTTCCTAAACTAAAGAGTATTTCATTTTGTTTTTCAGTTCCTCTCTTTAGCCTGGCAGACTGATTCAGTAGCATGCAGAAGAATTTCTGATATGAAAAGGATATTTCCTTTCTGTGCTCCCAAGCTTATTAAAGATGAAACCAGAAATAGTTATTCCTCCATACTTGGTACTCTTACAAACATTCCCTCCTAATTAAGTTTCACACTGTTTGGAAATTAACTGAGCCCCTCCTCTAGTCTAGTACAATACCCAAAGTTTTCAAATCAAGGAATATTTGTGTAAAAGAAAACCTCTTCCTGAAAATTATTTGCTTTTAGGATATTGCATGTGTAGCTTATGGAAATTGTTATAGAATTAAAAAATCATTTACAAATGGAAAAAATATGAAAACTGTTATAAATATCAGGTTTCTGAGAAATATGGGCTTTGCAGAAAACTCTGAATGTTTTGAAGTTCTTCAGAGAGACACCTGAAAAAGGAAATTTAACTACAAATAGTGCATATATTTTTAATAGAAATGCTAATAATAAAAATGAAGTATTTGCATACGAAACTAAAATCAAATAATACATACATCAGTAAGCATAAAATCCAGAGATCAAAAAACTGACTGCCTTTAGACTAAATAAGTTTTCATTAACTCAGTTATGCTGTTTTGGCTCAGCCCCTTTTATCAGTGAACTTTACTTATAGTGCCAGTTATAAGGCTGTCTTGTTACATTTTACAGATATTGTTCCTTCCTTAACCAGTAGTTAGTGCAAGCCACAGCGCAATAAATGCTGCTTGTGATTAAGTTACATTTAACAAATTCCAGGGCAAGATGCAGTGATAATTGTTGCTGCATGATTGAATTGTTATGTGACTGGGGTCATGTGTGTAACACCAGGTAGTGCTCGTGGGGGTGGGTGAAGGGGCCAAGACTCCTGCACCATCTGAATAAGTCTGCCTGAATTGTTTAGTTTAATCTGCAGAGATGGTGTAAAGATGTGCATGCATCTGTGATGTGGACATGGCTCAATTGTTTCTGCCTGCTATGAGTACCTCTTCTTTATTCATAGGCCCTCAGGCTACATATAGCCCTGCTTGGTAGAGGAGTTTGCATAATTGTGGAAAAGTCCAAGTGCCACTTTACACAGCGATAAATAGAACTGGGGAAATCCAAGCTTTCTGTAAATGCAAGAGAGACACAAGAGAGTCTGCTTGTGAGAGAGCACCAGGTTAAGTGACTTCTTACAGGCTAGCTTCAGCCAGTGCTGAGCTGAATCAGGCTGCTCCAGCAGTGCTTTCAGGGACATGATGTCTCTCCAATCCCCTTGGTGACATATGCTGACCATTGATGTATGGATTACTGCAGGCTCAGGAATCATAGAATCAGAGAGTCATTCTGGTTGGAAACAACCTTTAGGATCATCAAGTCTAGCTGCTACCCAGCACTGCCAAGCACACCACTAAGCCATCTCCCTCAGCACCTCACCTACATGTCTCTTAAATCCCTCCAGGGGTGGTGACTCCACCACTGCCCTGGGCAGCATGTGCCAATTCTTGATAACCCTTTCAGTGGAGAAAAGTAGCTTCAGTTTACTGAGAACTAGTGAGATGCAATAATTGAAGGATCTCTTCAACATATATTTTTTCATATTTTCCCTTCAAATCCTCCCCTCTTCCATCCCCATCCATATCAGCTGTGATGCTCTGAGTTGCACAAGATGCACTACAACAAATATCTCCTGGTTTAAGCTTTTTTGTTTAGGCCAAAGGATGTCATACGAGGGAGGAACAAAATAAAAGAAAAATATTGAAATCATTTCAGCTTCTGAAGTGAATTTGATTGTTTTGGATCTATTTTATTTGATGTAGTGTCAAGTTATGTCACATAATGTTCTGTTCTTTTAACCAAGGCTAAGGTAGTCCACGTGTTGCTGGATGGGCAGCGTGTCTCCCCGCTGGAGGGCTTTCTTATCCGCAAGGGACCTGGCAACTGCCATTTTGACTTTGCCCAAGAAATTCTCTTTCTTGACTATCTGCAGCCCCAGCTGAGTAATAAAGTCCAAAAGAGGTAAAGTAGGATGTTTTTGCTATCTGGACCACAGAATTTCTCTTAACTATTGGCTGTTTTTTTCATATTCTCTGTTGAAGTGAATTCTATGAAGCATGTGGATGAAAATATGAAGCACTTCAAGCAAAATTGGGTTTTAGGTATATACTGTTAATCAGAGTGTACTGAGATCAGAGGACAGCCTAGTCCATAATCTAGTCTAGTTGTATCGGTGGGTGGTGTTTGTGGAGGCTTAGTTCTTTGACTTTGTTCTCTTTTTTTCTGAATGAGCCAAGAGTACATAAAGATACTATTTTGTCTTTTTTTCTTGGCAGGGCTGTTTCAAAGAGAATGGAACAAGCTAGTATGGACTATGAAGCACCATTAATGCCATGTGGTTGTATCCTTCTTTGTCATTTTCTTAGTTGTCATAGAGAATATTTTAGAATTACAAACTGTAGTTATGAGACCTGAGCTTATGGAATGCAACTATTTCTGGTGCCTGAAGAAATTAACAGGGTAAAAGAATATGAGAGAGGCTTCCATTAAGTATGAATTAAGAATAATTAAATGGAGCATAACATATGAATACTCTGGTAGCTTTCCTGCCTTTTATAACCTGCCCAGGCTGAAGTGAGAGGTCACTTTGCACAATATTCAGCCAGCCCATCTAAGCTATAAGTAGTCTTCATATTTTTGTTCTTATTGAATGTCTGTCTCATTTTTTGTCTTTATTAATGTTGGCCAGAACTGTGTAGTGTTTTTGCCATTTTTCTTGGTGGTTGTGGCTTTTTAAGCTTAAAATTTCCTTGATAAGCACAGCCTTTCTGTGATACTACTTACTTTCATGTAATCTGTTTGTTTGACAGCCCTTTTTAATCCATTAGGCTGTTCTAACTAAGTGTGGAGATAATGAGGTCTCAGCAATACTAAGTTTCCTGAAAATTGGTGTCTGGGTAGAGCAAAAGGATACAAATGGGTGCTCCATTAGAGAAATGGACAGCACAGGCTCCATCATTACATTTTTTGCCATTCAGTTTAGGGCTCTATTTGCTGGCTGATTATCACCTGTGTGACACAAAACCAGACAAAGGCATATTCAGGAGACACAGGAGGACAGTGAAGGCTCCAAATGGGAGCCATGGGGTTAATAAATTGCAGATTTTTTTTTCACTCTCCTAAACTGAATAATTAGTGCCTGGTATCCAGATATGGGCTGCACAATAATTGTTGAAACTGCAAATTAAGTAGTCTGTTAGAATAAAACATCAGTATAAACATTTTCCTTAATATCTTTTTGTTATTTAGTTGTTTTCCAGTTTCAGCTTCTGACAAGCTGGGGTGATCCATACTACATTGGTTTGAATGGACTGGAGCTGTTCAATGAACATGGAGACCAGATCTTGCTGACTGAAAACAGTATCCTTCTACAGACCAAGCACCTCTGTCCCCTTCAGATACACAGTTTGCTCCCTGGCCAACTCTCATATGGCATCACTGGCTGCTTCTTACCATTTTATCCCACATGATTACTCTGCTTGTATTCCTCTTTATTTGCTTGATGATACTTGTTTCTGTATGTTTTAATGTGTTCTGCATACTTTCAAAACATTCCTTCTCTGACTGGGAGGCACCAACAAAGCAGGACAAGGGAAAGCTTAAGAAAGATACGGTATTTTTTGCTATCAGCATTTATTTCTTCTAGGATATGGAAGGACCAGAAAGTTTCATGAGCTATGAATACATATAAAAAGGTTGAGTTCAGTTCTTTGTTATGGAACAAAGATTTGATTGTGCCACAAGAAAGAAATTTTTCATAACTCTTGTTTCTGGAGCTTTAGGCTATTCTAGACACCTGATCCAGTTGAAAAGATAAGGACTGAGACTTTGAATTTGGTTCATTGTTCCCTGGGTAAGCAACAGAGGGAATGAAGGACATGTTTGAAACATTTGTGGTTATCAAGGCTACACTTGAGTGCTCTGTATCAGCCAAAGTCTCTTAAGAACTGAAAGCTTTGTACCCCAACATCTAATTCATGTAGTTCTGTCACTGGAAGAAATAGTTTCTTGGCTAACTAGAAAGGATAAAAAAGCACAGGTGCTTCATAGAATCGTAGAATCATCATAGAATCATAGAATCTTAGGGGCTGGAAGGGACCTCGAGAGATCATCTAGTCCAACCCCCCTGCCAGAGCAGGGTCACCTAGAGTACATCACACAGGAACTCATCCAGGTGGGTTTTGAATGTCTCCAGTGAAGGAGACTCCACAACCTCCCTGGGCAGCCTGTTCCAGTGCTCTGTCACTCTCACAGTAAAAAAATTTTTTCAGATATTCACCTTGAACCTCCTATGCTCCAATTTACACCCATTACCCCTTGTCCTATCACTGGTCATCACTGAGAAAAGCCTAACTCCGTCCCCCTGACACTCACCTCTTACATATTTGTAAACATTGATGAGGTCACCCCTCAGTCTCCTTTTCTCCAAGCTCAAGAGACCCAGCTCCCTCAGCCTTTCCTCATAAGGGAGATGTTCCACTCCCTTAATCATCTTCGTAGCTCTGCGCTGGACTCTTTCGAGCAGTTCCCTGTCCTTCTTGAACTGAGGGGCCCAGAACTGGACACAATACTCCAGATGTGGCCTCACCAATGCAGAATAGAGGGGGAGGAGAACCTCTCTTGGCCTACTAACCACACCCTTTCTAATGCACCCCAGGATGCCATTGGCCTTCTTGGCCACAAGGGCACATTGCTGGCTCATGGTCATCCTCCTGTCTACCAGGACCCCCAGGTCTCTTTCACCTACACTACTCTCCAGCAGTTCAGCCCCCAACCTGTACTGGGACATGGTGTTGTTCTTCCCCAAATGCAAAACTCGGTCCCAGTTCATGAATTCTATTTCTCTAAAGATTCTCATTGCCTAATAAATAGAGGATACAATGAAAAAGGTAATAAAGGCTTTTTCCTGAGTGCTACATTTATTTGTATCTTGTATGATACATGATGAACTTGAAATTTCTATAATGGGAAAGAAGCATTTTGAAATGGAAAAGTGGTAACAAATTGTTTTTAAGAACAGGGGTCTTTAACTTAGCTTTAAAATGATGTGTCTTTGTGGTACAATACAATGGCAGGTAAAGATACCTCAGCTTGTTTTGAATGATCTCCTGTTTCTTCCTGTACAGTAGGTGCTGCTTGGATATATTAGGATCCCAAAAAACCAATTTGGCTTAGTGCAGTATTAAATGTGATAAGTCAATACTGAGTTTGCATCAAGCTTTTCTTAAACAGTTGAGGCATTACAGTGTTATTCCTTAAATTCTTTATTAATGCTTCCAGACTCAGGCCTTTTAGAAATTAGGACAAGGGAAAATTTGTGTCCCTCAAACTGGAGTACTGGGGACTTATAATTTTGATGACAGTGCCATCCATCCAGACTTATTTGAAGGTCTTTAACATACATACATTTTTAATGTAAATGTTCTCCTGTGGAGAAAATCTGGTTATCCAGAAAGCCTGCTCAGTAGAAGGCTTCATCTTTCCCTCACAAAGAACTGAAAGAAGGCCTTGTTAGACAGTTAGTTTATCACAAACCTTGAGGAACTAAAGCAAAACCCAGTCTGACTGATGAGCACCTCCTGCAAGCATACTTTTCTTGAGATACACTTAATATGAGGAGTTTTCACTAGTTTTTGCTAAAAAAAATGGGTCTTTGTCACAAAAAAAAGCTGAGAATTGGTAAGGGAACTTTATTGATGAAGTAATAAATAGATATTTGCAAGTAGATTAAATAAAGCTAGTTAATTTATTCCTATTTTTAAAAAAAATTTTGAATGCTAGAATTGTTGTCCTGCTTTAAAAAATGTGCCCCAAAGTTCCTTTGCTACTTATGTGGAGTACTCGAGTAATTTTAAGTTTTCCTGCTCTAGTGATGGATACTCACCCATGGAATCTAGAAGATTTTATTTGCAGCATTTCTGAAATGTACTTTTCAGTTCTTTGCACTTAAAGCTTGTTTCAGATATTGCTGCTTTTCCAGATAGTGTGAACATCTTAGAAGATGTATCTGGAGACATCCGAACTCCAGACAAGCTGATTGACAGGGTGAATAACACGACAGATGGCAGACATATGTGGCTTGCACCAGTTCTTCCTGGCTTGGTACCTTTTCTGTTTTCATTCCGTTTTAGTGATGTGCGTAAGTGCAGCTACAAGCATAAAGGAAAGGGAAAGCATTCGTAATTTTTAGGTAAATTTTGTATTAGTAAATTATGCTAAATCACTGCCTTTTAGAAGTTCTTTTTATGCCAGTTTCTCTTGACTGCAGATAGAAGCAGAATAGAGTTCTCAGGTTTGTAATCTCCTGTCTCCATGGTGCGACAGCAGAATTTCCAAAACCAGTGTAAGATGTTTTTTCAGTTAACTATGATCAAGATACTGACAAAGCATTTTAATATGCATGTTCTGTGCAGTAAACACCTTTCTGACAGATGTGGGCTGGGATCTTAAACTTGTTCTTACAAAAAGCAATGCATGTTATTCCAGCAGTGAGATTTTAAAAAAACTTATTATCCATGTAGAATTCAGATTCATAAAGTGGAGATGGCAGACCTAGTATTTAATGTCCTAAGGTCCCAGGTGATTCAGCCCTTTTAGAAGATACAGGGTATCAGATATCTAACCAGAAAAAGCAGATGAACTTAAATGAATTCTGGCTTTATTTTGGAAGAGGACATTTTTCATGGGCCTTCAATGGGCATAATCAAGATATATTTATTTCTTAAAAGAAAATGGATTTCAAAAGTTAGAAAATGTAAACCTGGTGTGTGATATGTTGTAGTTTACTGTGTTGGAAATATCCTTATTTCCTATGTAACAGTTATGCCAGATTGTCTTCTGGAAAATCACAGATATAAACATTTCTATTGATCACATCTATATTTCTTTCTCCAGTTAAAAAGCAAAAGCATAATGATTTATTAAAACTAAGCATCAAAAGCTGCTTCAGAGGATGCTAGAGATGAAGCTTAAGATACCTAGGCCTGAAGTTGATACATCCTAATCTTTGGTCTTAGTATCTTGACATTAATGTCATTGAAAGTAAAGTGAACAACACCTCAAGTAATAATTGTTCAGCAAGCATCTGGAGAGTTGTCTCCATGTGCCTATTAGTGCACCTCACACAACACTTGCAAAAATTCTGCTAGAGCTTTCAAAATTGGGGAGATAGGAGAAATCTTAGTCTTGCAAATAGAAAGATGGATTGCATTCATATGTAGTAGGAAAAGATGGGATAGGAAACCAGCTTGTCTTCTGAAGCATGTGTCTGTATTTGGTTGATTAAATACTCCTCAAAAGTGTCTCTATCCCTCCTCCAATTGACCTAACAATCCAGGATGACAAGCTCAGGTGTAAATGTCATCTTCAGATGAGTTACATGAGCATCTGAGAGGGCAGCTGTGGGATAGAGTCATCATTTGTAAAGTATCAACAGAGATGATAGCTGAACTGAAACCTTTAGCCTCAGTTACCTGTCCTCGAGCAGTATCTCTGTAAATATGGACCTCTTTTGATGGAACATGCATGAGAATTTAATTTCTTTGGAGAATTTGGGCTGTTAAATATAAATTAATTATCTTTTACAGGTGAATAGGGTATATGTCATTTTTGATGTACCTACTACTGTGTCAATGATCAAGTTATGGAATTATGCAAAAACTCCTCAGAGAGGTGTGAAAGAATTTGGTGTAAGTACTTTTTGTATGCATTTTGTATGTTCTGGTGAGTCAGCTTGCTAGATTTCTGTGCTTATTTTCACAGTTTACTGAAGTGTGATTCCTTGTAATCTCAAAGGATGGGATTAATCTCATTTAACTCCGCATTCAGTTTTAAAATGAGTAATCTATGTCAGTCATTTGTCCTCCCTTTCTTGTCCAGGCAAAGAACACTTCATCTGATGTATTTCTTAGATAAATGTCTTAAGATAGGATAATGCTTTTCTTTTTCAACTGACTATAGAGCAGGCCTTGAAGACTAGTTTGAACTACAAACCCAAAATTTAGACAGCTGAAGTGAGATTAATGAACTCCTGGATTTAAGAGTGATTCACTCCAGTTGGTGGAATGGGAATTATGTAAAATGTGAAATATATTTTTAATTACCTACTTGAAAGCTGCATTAGAAACATCAGTGAGAAGACAAAATCTTGGAAAAAAAGTAATAATCAAAACCCAGCAGTGAATAGAGAGAAATGGAAGCTTTAAGGAACAAAAGCTAAACTAGCAACCAGACTTGTGAAACAAATAGGGTAAAATGAGTTCTAGTTAGTTACTAGAGACAACTGCTGAAGGCAGTGCCTGATTCCTAGGTGTTTTGTTTGTTTCTTAAATATCTTTAGCTTCTGGTGGATGACTTGCTTGTGTACAATGGGATTCTGGATATGGTGAGCCATGTGGTAAGAGGCATCCTACCCACCTGCGATCCAGTGGTCCCGTATCATACCATTCTCTTTACAGATGATGAGAAGATTTGCCATCAGGAGAAGAGAACTGTTATTAGGTATGTGAGGGGGGCTCTTGATGGGAAGAAAGAATCTTTAAAAAAAAAAATGTTTGTATGTGACTCATGTCAGCAATATGTATATTCCTACAGAAAATTCCCTTCCAAAGCATGATCAGCCTCATTTTATGAGAAATAACCAGTAGTTTTTTAGATACTAGGACCAAATTACCAGCTTTATTTGTAAACATTGTTTAGCACTTACTGGGATTCATGATTCATATTTACTCAAGTTTTCATGGAAGCCTATAGTAATAAATAGGAAAGAAAGAAGTTAGACTTCCTTAGAGGAAAAATAATGATTCCCAGTGATATTACAAGGAAGAAGAAAAAAGTTCATACGAAAGAACTAGACATCAAAAGTAGAGAAAATTAAGTCCTCTAATTTGGCACAGATAATAATTAAGGAACCAAAGTTCCATTTTGTGAATGTTCTAAAGTAATGAACTTCTTAAATAAGAAACTAATTGCATTCAGAGGAATGGCACTTTGCAGGTACTGAGTTGGCAAGCTCACAGAAAATGATGAAATGCAGTGGAAAATGCATTTATGTTTAGAAGGTCAGGGCTGATAGGGCCTAAAGAACAATCCCTAGCAAGGAAAATAAAAATTGAAAGAATAATTAATTTTAAATGAGATTGAAGATTAAAAAACTGAAAGCTTAGAGAAATGAACATTCTTATACGTTGCACAGCTAAGAAATAAAATGTCTTGCATATACATCACCTGGGGAAAAAGAAAACAGTTTTGCATTAAAAAATGGCAAATGATTGGTTCAGAAGAATATTCCAATACTTGGAAAGAAATGGAGGGAAGGTAAGCTGTGCTGATTAAGAACTGCAGTTGATATTTGCCTAGGGGCTTTGTTTTTCTGTGTTTCTCTAAAGCACTGGCTCTTGGCCACTGGTACTGTCAGATGTTGAAGTAAATAATCATTTGGATGTATTGTGTTAGGCTCATGTTTTTGTACAAGTGTTGTCATGGTAAAAATTGGAGGTAAACAGTTCGTTCTAGTGAAAAAGTTACTGAAATGAAAATGTCTTGAGGGAACACAAGTTTTAAGAAATTTTTCAGTGGGATAAAAAAAGGAGGAGAAATGAACCTTTTCTTTCTTCAGCTTTAACATCTTTCTATCAATAAATTTATTTTATTGGAAGCTGAAAAGCACCAGCTGTAATCACAGATCTTTTTCACATAACTTCCTTTCACATAACTTCTTTACAAAAGGATATAGTTCATTTTATTTAGCTTTAGGAGGGATTTACTTTTGGGGTCACACAAAAACTGCATGATGTGTTTTCCAGTCAAGAATATGCTGAGCCTTTTCACTTCTGTGCAGGAGCTTTCTTGTTCTTTCTTCTTAGCCTGTTTTGCAATATTCTTTTCCCTTTTTTCTTTTACTACCTCACTAAAATGTAAGGTATTTCAGCAACAGAAGACAAATCCCTTACTACATCCTGGATAATATCCCTCCATCTGAAAAATGCTCCTGAGCTTTTTAATGTTGTTACTTCTGATTTTGGCTCATTCTCTGTCACGTGTCACTCTTCAATATTTTGTGAACCCTGAACTTGAGTCTGATCTTATACTGAAATACATCAGGCTTTATGCTATTGATGATAAGTTAACCAGTTTTACTCTGACAGTTTGAGGGACATTACAATTTTCTCAAAAACTAGAGACCTGTTTTGTGTGGTATTTGTAGAGAAAAGAAAAAAACCCACTTTTTTTTTTCATCCAAAGCAATGGGTGTTCTGTTTTATCTGTGTAAAAGGGAGGTATTCTCAGTGATGTTTTCTTTAACTTTCCATTCAGCTCACTTTTATTTCCCTGTAGTTTGTTTAATTTAATTTAACTTTGAAGTTCTTCTTTCCCCGAAAGAAATTGTTAAAATTTTGCAGCAGCCTGCAAATAAAACTTGTCATGGTAAATTAATTTTGTTTAGCTCAGAAAATGTTCAGGTCATGCTATATCAACATTACAAAACAGCGTTAAGTTCCATATAGGGATTTTTCTACTCTATTTGTACAGCACTGATTCAAAAATCTCACTCTGGTTAATGTGGTTCAAGCTGTGTAGGCAGGCAAGAAAACTGTAGAGTGAATATGATATTTAGAGTTGAATGTGTGCCTGGATGAATGCCACTAATTAAAACTGGCAAGAAATCCTTCAGGTGGATGCTGACAGAATGCCTTTCCTTTCTAGATAGTCTCATTTAACGTGGCTGTGCTTCAGAGCTTTCTTTAGCCTCCAGGACTAAATCACTTGTTTGCTAACCTTTTCCATGACTCTCATAACTTTTCACAGTGTTGATTATTTTGGCTAACGTGCTGATTTTCATCTTTTCAGCAATCATGTCGGAGATCAGGATGTACGAATGATGAATGAAAATGAGATTGTCACCAACAGCAAAAAGAAGCAGGTTGTGGCTGATCCAGGTTAGTTCTGACTTCTATAGTTTTCTTCCTTGCTCTTTCTGCAGGGACAGTTTGGGTAAAGGTTGTTATAGACCTAAACTGGGGAAGGTGGGGAGACTTAGAGCTCCTTTGGATATTTAGCTCTACTTTTTCTACCATAGGAAGGCAAACCAGGAATGTCATACTCTGGTGGATTTTTATTCTGTATCTAAATTTTAAAGTAGGTAATATAATTCAAGACATTAGTGGCATGTAATAGCTTATACCAACACATACACAGAAGTCCTCAGCAAAAAAAACTGACTAAAGATAAACAGAGAACTAGTGTTAATTGTGCATTTTCACAGATAGCTTTTGGAATAATAGGCTTATTGCATGAAGCAGCTTTAGAGATGATGAATACGTGTCTCAGAATTAGCTGCTTGTTGCTCCTCAAGCAAATCCAAAATCACAGCAAGTGTAACAAGGGGGAAAACATGTTGACTTTATTCCTCCCACTGTCTTTCTGGTTGGTCTTTTCTCTTACAAAGTGATAATTAAAAAGACAACCTCTTTTTTCCCAAGGAGAAAGAGTAGATAGTATTTATAGTCTGAAGAGTCCCAGTCACTCATTGTAAATTACTCAGAGTAGCTCCCTGAATACATTACAAAGTCTCAGACAAGCTGGTATATTCTTGATTGGTTTTATCTCCTAAGCAGGACACTTTCTCCAATTAGTTCCTCTAGAAAATGTTACAGAAATTATTTGCTGGCTTTTAATAACGGTTCTATAGGAGAAGGGTTTGAATGCCTTTACCAATACAGCCTCCAAGTTAGTGTATTAGCACTAGCTGCACCAAAAGGATTTTGAACATCTCTGTGCCTGTTGTAATGACATCCTGGGTTCCAGTGCAGACAAACTCTATGTCCAATATAGAAAAGCTGTCATCACCATGGCCTTCTCATCTATTGTCCAAGCATTAAAGACACAGAATGCCTGTAAAGTCAGCAGTTGAGTATTTGGGTTGGAGAAGACCTCAGGGGGGGGTCCCCTCCTGAGGAAAGGTCCAACCTCCTACTCAGAAAAGTGTCAGCATTGAATTCACTCCAGATTTCAGAGGAAAACAGTTCCATGGTGCTGTGAAAAAAATGGCATCAGTCACTGTCAACATAAGAAACATGACTGAGAAGAGCAGCTTAGCTTTCCTTCTGGGATGGAAGAGAAATGGGTGTGCTTCTTCCTCATTTTAGCCTGTGGCTCCACTGTTCATACACATACAGTCTTAAAACAACACTCAATTTTCTTTGACAGCTTTGCGTCCAAAAACCTGCATATGTGAGAAAGGACCACAGAGGAGGAAAAGATAAGGGATTGTGATGGGAAAGTCCTGAATACTTCCAGCCCCAAGTACCTGCCGTCTAGCTCTTCAAGATATGTACCATCCAAGTGGAAGATTTTCCATGTCTGCTGTTGAAGCATCTCCTGTCTTATGAGAGGACCTTTTATTCACTACAGAAAATTTTCTTCAGTAATGAAATTCAAAGCATTAATTCAGTTTTTTGGTTTTTAAAATCATAATTACCTGTATGATTGTTTTTCTTCCTTTCTTAATGGGAAACACAGGGAGGAACATAAAGGAGTGAACAAGAACCTTGCTGCTGACTGAGAGCTGTCCTGCCAATTACTGAGGACTTGGGTGAAGCATGATGGTCCTAACAAGAGGCTTTCAGAGTATTTCTCAAGCTTTAATTTCTAGACCCTAGCTGAATGACTACAGAGCTCCTCATTAGAAGGATGTGTCTACTTTGTTTCTGATGCCTGTAAATAATTATTTGGGAATTCACTAGAGGAAATGCTCTTTACCTCTCTGTTTCTGGACTGCCACTATAGGTTTTGATGGCAGGGCTCTTTACAGGTGTGACACTCGTTCTGACATTTGGAGAGGTTCCACTGGGTGTGCAGAAGTCTGATGAATGCTTTTAGTAAATGAAGATCAGGAAGTGGGTTTATCAAGGTTTAGTAAGTAAGTTTCAGCTGTCACTTTTCATCTTTTGCAATGAAATAATTATTTCTTTCATTGTTTCACTACCATGAAAAAAGCAAAATAGGTGTTTTGCCTGAAGTGCCATTGACAGGTGCTCTGCACATTCTTCAGAGTCCTTCTGCTACAGAGCAATGCTTTTCTCCTATTTTGTCTGAATTTGATTATATGAACAAGGAGTATCCCTGTGCAGTACCAACCTGCTCTGTTTCCAGCAACGTATCACCACTTGTGAGAAAAGGTAAATGCATTTTAACTAGCAGGACGTAAGGAGTGAACAGCATTTTTAAACACAGAAGACCTTCCAGATGTAGTCATTTAAAGAAAAGCTCTAACCAAATAATTATGCTGCAGGATTTTTAGCTATGCAAATGTACTTCTCACTGCAAATCTCTTGGTTGTAACAACCTGTAAATCTCTTCCATAGAAGATTCTTCTTTTCTCGTTCAGAAGTCGCTGGTTGTTCCCAGACAGAACTGAACACACTGAAGTCAGTTCATGCTTTTAGACATGAAACAGAGACTCTTGCAGCTCCTGATGCAGAATCCAAATGTGCTGCTTCCCTTTCTGTGCTGTCAGGAGAGCAGTATCTTGTATATTTGCTTAAAAGCATATTTCTTAGCTGCTGTTGGCTTAGCTGAAAAGACACAAGATAGCAATGCATTTCCAGGTTTCTGTTGATGGAGCCACAAAATGTATTTTGTACTAAATACAAAACATTTCACTTCTAAATGTAAAATACTGTGTATGAGTATATTGTACTTTGTTTAAAGACTCTACCCAAAGTGCACTGACAGGAGAACCCTCTGTTATTCTGTGAACTGTCTCCCCTTGTGTGTTTACCAGTGTCCTCTACCAAGAATTAGGTTTTAATTTTTGCTCCAAATCAGGTAACCATGACCTGCAATGCCAAAACCAAAAAGAGGAAGAGCTGAAGGGAGGGTTATTGGTAGAGCTAAGAACAGATATAAATGTTTGGAAGAGGAGAGGCTGTAACAATGTTTTTAAGAGAATCAGAGATTTGTCATATAAGCAATTTGTAGATGAGACTTGTTGCATTGTTTGTGCTTCTGAAAAAATTGCATTGAATGGGAAGAGAAATGAAATCTGTCATGTTTCCTGGCAGAATAGCATCTTTCTTATTGATCAGAAAATATGTGAGGGGGAGAGGAGTTTCTATGCTCATCTGTCTTCTCTCTATCTGTCTAGAGCATCTTGAGTCCAGTGAGATGGACTAATGATTTTTTTAAGCCTAATCCTTTGAGATAACTCCAGATTTTGTAAATTATTGTAAAATGCTTGGTCAAGCTCAGGAGTCCCCTTTGCCATCTCTTTCTCTGCCCCCAACTCTTGATCTCCAGTCAGTTGGTAACTGCAGCCAGTTTTCACACCTTTTGCCTCTGGAAAGCTGTATCCAGTCCAGAGACTATTAGCTTGTACCTTCTGCCAACCCCTCCTAGAAGCTCCTTTTATCCATTCAAGACATTCCCCACAATTCCCGCACTGTGGAAAGACCATCAAAGTATTTGAAATATTTAAAAAAATAATTGTGAAGCTGTGAAACATCCTCCCCTGCAGTGTTTGTGTCTGGAAGGGTTTGGGAGCCTGCTGTCTGTTCTGGGATGACCTGCACCACCAAGGCCTAATGAAGTCCTTGCTTCAGGTCAGTCATATATAGAAAATAGCATAATATTTAGAAAATATTTCATTAATCTCTGTGGGGCAGGAGATGTCAGCCTTTGCCCTCCTTAATTGATTTTGAGATTTAATGATTTAATGATCTAACCAACAATAATTGTCCCAGTAAGTCCTGTATACTCCAACATAGATATTCAACCCATTTCCACAATGAATCAAGAGGTTTTTTAAAAAACGTTTTATTCCATTTTTCACCTTTTCTTAACTAACAAGTTACAGGTACATTCATGTCAGACTAGAGGGAGAAGAGGATGAGTAAACATGCAATCAAGAAAATCCCCACAGAGCACTTCAGTCAATGTCAGGCACTGTTTCAGCAAGAGTAATCCAGCAAGAATGTGCAGAGTAACACATCATTTGACATTGTCAAAAGCATGACAAAGGGAAAAGAAAGATTAATATGAATTCTTGCTGAAGCCTTTGATGTAAATTATTAAACTTTTGCCCAGTTCCATTTTCTGGGCCACTCAGAAACCTTTTTGTCACAGATGCTCACCTTTCCCTGTAGTGTCTTGCTTTAAAGAGGCTGGATCAAGGTAACAGAAATGAATTAGTTTGTCCTACCATGACTCTAAAAAGGGCAGAGTATAAAGAAATAATCAGTGAGGAAGTACATGTCATGCTGACTACTTTTTGATACTTAAAAATATATTTTCATCAAATCTCACAGTGTAATCTGAAAGTTGGAATGCCTGGGAAGGCCTGCAACTTCTGGTTTCTGTTTTTTTCCTTTTTTTGTGGTTTAATCCAGTAGAATTTAAACAGCACTGAGAAGCACTCATAACGTGGACAAGAGAGCACACAGTGGTGCAGACAGTGTGAAAGGCAGTGCAGAAGACATGGAATCTCATGTATTACTGAGTCAGGACAGGCATTCTCGTTTTGGAGGATGAACCCCTAAGAGCTGCATGAGGAGCTACATATGGCAGCTGAATTAAACTGAGACTGTCTTGTGGCTTAGGCTGGAGCTGGGCATAAAATGGCACTGCAGCATCCTGCTTAGGTGGTGCTGTTTTTGCTAAGATTTCCTAGTCCTGTTGGGCTTTCACCAGGCTCCTGGTATGCTGGTCATTCCCCACAGTGATGTTCAGTCCTGTCATTTCAGGGATGTGTGCCAGACTGGTAGCATCTGCAAGAGCCTGACAGTGCCGATGAGTGACGGGCAGTTGTGAGATTGGACAGAGATCTTGTGGACCAGGTAATGCCCTAGAGTGACCAGTTAGGAATCCCTGCCAGTGATGATGTGAGGATGAGAGCAGTGGGTGAGGGAGGCAGCATGTCAGCCTCTTACATTGCCAGGAAAAGCTCACTTCTCAGCCTGAGTCAGGTAAGAGCAAACATGAAGTGCTGTATTAACATCTGGATTGTGGCTCATGCAGGGCATGAAGTCTGCTTCCCCTTGATTGAGTCAATGGCTTTTAATCTGCAAGACACAAGCATTTTCCATTCCCCCCTGCTTTCTGCTTTGGCAGACCTCACTGTTGGGTGCACCTCCACACTGCCCTGGGGCACTGAGCAAGTGAGTCCAAGCCAGCACTGGTGTCAGCAGACGTGTTGTGTTAGGTGTGTCTTAGGCTGGTCTCCATGTTCTGGAGCTGCTGATACAGGAGGCTGAGCTGTAACAGGAGCCTCTCTTCTGGTATGAGTCACTGAAGTAGAAAAATCTCTTCCAATATTAATCAAAAAATGTGGATCCCAGAACACATTGCCTAGTAACTGGTTCACTAGTACTATAGAGACTGTAACTATGCACATTACAGCATTTGATGCACCTCTCTATATTCCCTTTCAGCTTCTTTAATCATGTTTATCTTTTGACTGCATCATTATGCTTAGAAGGTCACTCCTTTTGTCTTCAAAGAAGTTCTGAAGGTCTTGCTCAGAATGATCGTTCTTTGGTTGCAGGTGTGACAAGCTTGTTTTGCTTTTCAGACATATGTTCTCAGATGTATGACAACATCAGTTGAATTTTATCTAGTTTGCCATATGTAGGCCACTTGCTATCTGAGACCTGTGACCCCTGGTGACAGGGGGTGTCACCAACCCCTGTGATCACAGTATGGTGGCTCCTGTTTGCATAGGCTCCTCATTTCTATGGGTGCCAGAGTTGCACGTCTGCTTGCTTGATTATTGTCCATCAAAAATGCTGCAGAGATAAACATCAATTTTGGAGATGTGCTCTGAGGTGTCTGCTCTAGAGAGCAGGGAAGGAAGCAGAGAGGAGTACAACCTGCTGGAGGAATATTTGCTTCCATTTGAGCACTGAGGTCCTGGTATTTAGAGCACAAGAAGGAGGGTTCCTGGCTCAGAGGACTCTTTGCCCATTTCTGTGACTATTTGCTTGTTTGCTGAGAAATGACTTAGAGCCCATGTGAGACACAAACATCCCTTTATCACGCAGCTTGTATCACCCTAATGGAATTCTGTCAGCTGAGGATAAAATGTGGACTAAGAAAGCAATTATAGAGTGAATCTCCTAGCTGCAGGAAGAGCTGGAAGATGGGGACAGAGTGCCCAGCTGGAGTAATTTCCTGACTGACTGGCCTCTAAATCTTGCTGGGAAGTGATCAATTTTCCACCCTTGTCTAATAGCATCATCCCCAGTCCCCCTGGCTCAGGACCCCCTGG